AAACCGTCCTCCCAGCGCAGACATGAGTGACTGAGGGAGACTGGGGAGCCTGGCCTGCAGCCCCTGGTCTGCGGGGGGGGTCAGAGCCTGTCCCCAATAGGACAGGCTCAGAGCCCACTTAGGTCCTTTTGTGGGGCGGGATGGGCCCCAGTGCTATGCCATGGGGCTGTGCTCCCCCCTTCCACTCCCACACCCCCTGCTTTAAAACTGCTGCTCAGTTAACCCTTCCTTCCCAGGGGCTCACCTGCAAACACCAAACCCAGTGGGCATGTGGATTAGCTATGCCCCGCCCTCAGAGGACGCCCTGGGTCAGTGCTGCTGGGTGGCTACAGGGAGGCAGCAGATTTTGCTTTCAGAAGCCATGGGAGCAGGGGCCAAGTGGGGCCCCCCAAAGCTAACCCCCTTGGTGGGACAGTGATTCCCTGTATAGCAATGCCAGTCCTTTCGGAGTCATGGCCTACCTTCTCCATGAAGGTAACGTCCCGGCCCCTGGAACATGCGAACGTCACCGTCGGGATCCTCTTGGCCAGCACCGATTGGCCAGCTCCAAAAGGGTCAGCGACTGACCTGTAACATTGTGGGGTAGCTACTAGGGATGTTAAATGTAGATCGGTTAGATAATCGACTATTCGATTAGCCGATAAAGGCGCCTCCGCCTTGGAAGTGTAGCAACAGCCCCAGGGTGCAAGCGCTGTGGGGAGCACGGGGCCAAGGGGGATTCAAACCGTCCCCCGCTGGCCCCGGACTCCTCACGGCGTTTCAAAGCGGCAGCTCTGCATGGAGCCCAGGGTCAGCGCAGCACTGCCTCTTTGAAACGCCTTGTGCAGCCTGGGACTCCCAGCTGGCCCCAGGCTCCCTGCGGCATTTCAAAGCGGCAGCATTGCATGGAGCCAGGGTCTGGCCCCGGGCTCCATGCGGTGCTGCCGCTTTGAGGCATCCTCTCCCGCCCCCCCTTTCTGATAGAGGCAGGAAGGAACAGGGAAGCAACTAGTGTGTCGGCTATCTGATAAGCATTGGCTTATGGCGCTACATCCATCCGGGAGCTGGCTCCCTGGACCTGTGGGACCTCCCTACGTAGGAGTGGGGGCAATCTGAGCACAAAGCTCTTGTGCGAAACTCCTGCCACCCCAGGTCCACCACAGTGCCAAGGTGAGCGCCTCGCTCTGTGCTTGTGGCCCTTCTCCCGACGCGCTGGTCTACGTAGGAGGGCCCCTCAGCTGGAACAACAGGCATGAGCAGCCTGGAGGGGAGCCAGCGTGTCCGTGTTCCCCTCCGGGAGACACCTCCCGCAGTTCAGAAGCTGCCCCTGCACCGTCCAGCAGTGTCTCTCAGGTGATCCATAGGGTGGGTTTGGCAGGGATGTTCCTTCACCAGGGCAGGATCCATGTTGGCTCTGGCTCCTGGGAGGGGATGGATGCAAAATGCCTCAGCTGGGGGCGGGGGAGGGGGGGCATGGCTGATCGGCTCCCATGGGACAGCACCCGCGGGAGCTGACGTTTTGAGCTGGGCCTGGGGAGCAGAGAAGGGCTGTGTCAATGCGGTCGTGAAGCACAGGTGTCCGCTGCCCCGGGGCCACACAAGCACCAGCTGGGATGCTCCTTTGCTTGGTGTCTCCTCCCTGCTCCAGGGGAAACACCCAGGACTCCCACCTCCCCCTCGCTGCCTTTCTCCGGCCTGGCCCTCAGCCTCATCTCTCCGAGAGGAACTCTCTTGGCTCCTCACTCCCATCTTTCCCCATCAGGGAAAATAGCTTGCTGCCCCCTCTCCTCCCACTGCTGTTCCCATCCCCACAGAGCAGGCCTACTCAACACGCAGCCCGTTGGCTTGTGGCCCGCGGTGCGGTTTGGGTTGATAACTCTTTGAATAGCTAAATTCCTGGACTGTTGGGAAGCCAAAACAAAAAAGCCGTCATAGAATCATAGAATCCTAGGACTGGAAGGGATCTTGAGAGGTCACCGAGTCCGATCCCCTGCCCTCATGGCAGGACCCAGCACTGTCTAGATATAATATCAATAGAATGGTCTTCGGCTGATGTGTTTTAGTAATTATGTTCCTGCACTGTCGTGGCTCATTAAAATGCTGTCATATGGGTGGAAAGGGGTAACTATTGCATTTTCTGAATAGCAGCAGAACTGACTGAAATGGGGCCTGCATGTTGTGTGGTCTTGCCTTCATTTTTGTATTCATGCCCGTCCATGTGAAAGAAGCTATTTGCATATATTTGCATAGATATTTGCATGTATATGCAACCACACTTAAGTTGTGGCCCTTGCTGTATCATTGTGGCCCCCCGGAGCTTCCAACATTGAGTAGCCCTACCATAGAGCTAGAGTCTCTTCTCCTTCATGCCTTGCCTGCCTCGGCAGCTCCACGAAAATCACACTGGGCGTCTTCTCTGCCCCCCGAAAGACACCACCCAACCTCCTCTCTACGGCAGAGGGCCACTTCTCCTGTGCCCTGCAATGCCCCTCCGGTCTCCCTGCCCCCGAACTCTGGGACCACCGAAGAAGAGATTTACCCCGGGGAATCCAAGTCGACATTTTAAGCAGACCCTACGGCAAGCGGTGAGGCATCTCTGCAATGCTGGCCGAATTAATGACGCTTTTACCTCTGACCATCGCCACGGCGCCTCGGTGCTTCGAGTCAGGGAGCCGTCCCCTACGCAGAGACGCTCTGCTTCGAAGCCTGATCGACTTGCCCCATAACGGCCCCTATTTCATATACCGCTGGCATGAAGACTCTCAACAGAAGAGTCTCGGTCTTCGTCGTTTTCACCTGTGCCTAATCTTCGTGGCCACCCATCTCTGAATCCCCGTCTTTCTCTGCATTCCCCTTGTGGCGATAGGATGCCCAGGACTGACTGCTCAATTCAAGGTGAGCAAACTGCTGTCTGGTACGGGTTGAACCTCTCTAGTCCGGCATTCTCTGGTCTGGCAACCTCCGTGGTCCGGCATGATTTGAGTGCGCCGGGTTTCCACTTATCCTGGGTCTGACCAAGTTTCCCACAGTCCCATAAAGTTTGTTTCCAGCCACCAGGCCTGGCTCTCACTGCTCTGTGCTGTAACTTAGCTCTAACTTATAAGTAAAATGCCTCTAAGAGCCCAGCACTCTGTGCTGTAACTTAGCTCTAACTTATAAATAAAATGCCTCTAAGAGCCCAGCATGCAGCAGTGTTGGTGATGCTGCTAGACAATATTGACCTCCCGTAGTCCAGAAAATTCTCTGCTTCGGCACCAATCAGACCCCAAGGTGCCGGACTAGAGAGGTCCAAGCTGTACTGTTGTTTTATAGAATGGCATTAGTGTATGTTCAGTATTACCATCCTAGCCGTTCATCCCACATGCTGCCATTTTGCTTCCTTTTCTGAACGCTGCTGGGCCGGGAGCAGAGGTTGTCACTGAATTGTGCGCAGTAGCATCCTGTTCTTTTTCCTCCCCGGGGCTTCCAGTTAATTTAAAACCCAGTCATGTGTTCTTTGTCTTTCCGCATGTTTTGAAAGCACGGCGTACAATTAAAGTGTTCTATAAATACAAATAATAATAGTAGGGACTCTGTGGATTTGTCACTGATTAAAATTTTGTGTGTGTTTACAGGCACATTCCGATCAGGCCTCCTGGCGTGGTGCCAGTGAGGCTTACCGGGTTGGGTGCCGCTGCTCGAAGGGCATGCGGTGATCACCCAAAAAAAATGACCACTTATCATTTTATTTGCAGAACCACCAATCCTTGGAGCCAGGGTATTAAATTTAGATTAATCAAATAATTGAATAGTCGATGCAATTTGCATCGACTAGTTGATGAGTCCATAAGGGCGCCTCCGCCATTGAACTGTAGCAAGAGCCAGGTTTTAAGCCAGCTCTCCGAGAGAGGCAGCAAGGGAAGGGGAAGTGACTAGTTAAGTCACTAGTCGACTAGTCAGCTAGTCACTTACATCCCTACCTTGGGGTAGAAAGGCTCAGGATAAAGCTAAATGCTTTGGGGTACCAAATGGTGATTTTCTTTTTCTTCTCTCAGGCCAT